GGTTAAGAGCTCACTCAAGAGTTTGAGCTCTGAGCAACAGCGGTTCGATTCCTGGCCTGAGCTGAGCTGCCGCTGAGCTGCCAACAGGTGGCAGGTGGCTCAGCTAAAAAAAAAAAAAAAAGAAGTGCTGTTTTTAACTGCATAAAAAAATAACTTACTGTGTCTAAACTTTTTCTAATGATAAGACTCTAGCTACAGAGTCTCATGGTCAAAGGGAAGTAATAAGTTAGCTATTCTACCCGCCCATTCAATCCTTGACCCTATAATTTGATCTTCACAACTCAGTTTTGACAATGGGAGGTAGTACTATCTCTCCTTGTTAGATAAAAATACAAAACGGTATTAATACTAAATTCAACACGCAGGACCAGTTTGGATGACTTGTTCAGGACTGCACATCAGCATTTGTAAACACTATCACTTGATCCTCCTTGCAATCTTGGGAAAGAATTCAGTCTATAGTGTAGCACGCTACGGAAATAGAGGTCGAAGAGTAACCTACTCCATCTTTGGAAATTCACAAGACATCTTCGATCCTGAAACCCATCAGACCTGGTCTGCTCCTAAGACTGTGTATTGAATACATGTAACCCTTTCTTGACGGTAAATCTTCACATATCAGGAGACAGTTATATTCCCCCCCAGATTATTTTTAAAACTTCCCCAGAATATAGATAATAATATGGATTTGTCATCATCTGATTTAAATTATTTATGTAATTTGAAGGTTATTTTGAGGTAGATGGTATCTTCCTCTTAACAGTTCAAAGAAATTTCTATTAGATTGTCCCCTTCTCAAAGGCATTACTGACTTTTCACTCATGTTTGTATCCTGGCCCTAAGCACAGTTTGTGACATTAAGTACTGAATTCATCCAGTTAGCTTTACACTTAAAATTGTCGTGTGGAATAAGAAAAGCAAGTGCTAAGAACTTAATTTTCATTATGTAAAGAGAAACTAAGACAAGCCGGAGCTGAGGGACTTTGCTATCATCACACAATGGGAGGAACACCTAAACTTTCTGAATTCTAATGATGTTAAGCTACTGCTTCCTGAAACGGCACTTACACTTTCTGAGCCCAAAATCAAGACACACAGTACGATTATGAATCTTTTCTGAATTTTGATTTATGATTATGAAAAGCCTTGCAAAGCTTAAAAAGCTGCATATTTATGAATAATTTTAATAAAGCGGATTACATTGGAACTGTCCAATAAAATATATAGTTTGTTTACCATATCAATCTACCACACAAAATAAGTCCTTAGGCCGAGGTGCCTTACATGAAACCAGTTATGTTGCTTTTTCTACTGTGCATAATTTCTCTCCCTCGGAGAGACCATCAGCTTAGCACTTTCGATGAGGAATGTTTTAATAGCAAAGTTATTATTATGTAATATTTCTGGAGTGCTATGCCATAGATGGCTACAGAGCTACGAAAGAAATAAAAAGTTCTTGAAATTCTAGAAAAGCTATTACTCGTGGTTTAGACATAATTTAATAGGGATAAAAATGTGTTACATGTTTCTGTTTCATTGTCGTCATCTTCCGTTAGGGAAGAAAATGCAGAAGTCCACTCTTACCTGCTTGAAAAGTTGGAGGTTAACTGCCGTTTCCAAGAACTGTTTCATGAGACTTGAGCGGTGCTTCACAAAGCTCTCCTCACAGAAAGTGATGGGCTCACCCTAGACAGAAATAAAGAATTTCATGGGGTCAGGAGGAACTCAGTCAGAGAGAACCAGTCTCTCCAAAGAGGCACCTGGAGAGTCCAGAGAAGGTGTAAGACACAGAGTCACCTTCGAGGTGCGTATGTCTAAAGGAGTCAGACCCCTCGTACATAACACCTGGAGTTCAGGCTCATAGCGTCCTGTGTCTGATGAGCCTCTACTGTGGCTTCCTACTCAAAGTTCCCTCAGGCTCCTAAAACTGCTCCATTTCACTCCCTCAAAGTAAGACTAAATCCCTTCAAACAGAGATGCAGTATCATCAGCTTGAACGATGAGGGTTAAAGACAGCATGCATATCTGAAAAAGTCCAACCATTAAAAGTACCCTCATGTTTGTGACAGTGTTTTTCTTTGGGGACAGCAGAGAAGAGTACTTTATTTTAGTTATGTTAAAGGGAATTCCCTACCAGATTTACTACCTCTAAAATGTCCATTTTAATCCTAAAAGGTAAGATACAAAGCATCACCGATATACCAACCAGCACACCGAGGTTAATTCGCCCAAAGTCATATAACTAGTTAGTATAGAATGAGGACTGAAACCTAACCCAGTCTGGTGCTGGAGTCCAGGCTCTTATCACTTTCCTTCTCTTTATTTAGCACATTAGTGTGATCTCATATTTTTAAATTCTTAAAAGTAGCTAACTTGCTGCTGGCTAAAACTGTACTGTAAACTTGAAATCAATCCCTCTTAAAAAATTCGACAACTAAAATTAATCACTAATTGTGTCTTTCAAACTCATTTTATGTTTTAATTGACGTTAAATAATTTGAAAATGAATATGCCCTACTGTGGTCTGGATGACTGCTTTCCAGCCTTTTAAAGAATGAGACCCTACGACTCTAGAATCTTTGAAGACTCCCCCATGTGAGATGAGCATACTGTGTACAGCACATGAGCCCCATAATGCTGTAAGATACATGCCTATTTCAAGAAGATTAGCACACGGCTTATACATCCAGTCACGCTGAGACAGCGGCTGAGCTGCCTGCACAGGACTCCTTCCCACAGCAAGTCAATGACTCCTCGGAACAGAAGAGCCACCGGGTGGGAACGACTAAGTCGAAGTCAGTTTAGAAAAAATATAACCCATTCGCATTTGTTTAGTGTGTCACAGTTGATAGTAGTGTTTACACACCAATCCTGAAAAGTAGACAGGAAAGGTATGAAAATTCTCATTTTACAAATAAGAAGCCTAGAGAGACTAGGAAATGGGTCAAGGTCACACAGTTGGATCATGGTGGAATTCCTACTAGAGAGCAGGTCTTACCACTAACTCAGGTGTTTTGGTTTTTTATTTTTACCCATCACAGCTTATTTATCTGGTCATGGAAAAGCGATGTAACATACTTAACCAATAATTCAGAGAGAGAAACAAATACATTTTGATTTATATCTTTTAGGACCATCTAAAACCTCAGCAGCAATTCTATATAATAATCATTTTTAGGGCATTAAAACAAGAAATGGAAAAATGAGCTGGGATATGCTGAACAGATGAGCCCCCTTAGAAAAGTTACGAATTAGGAGGACAATAAATGTCCAGATAGAGCAAAACCTTCAAGTTCTAATATTTTTAAACTATCATTTTGTACTTTTTATTTTTAAACTCATTAATCTAATAAACCCAATTGTCTAGTTAATTTCTTAATGATCTTAAGAAGATCAGGTAGTTACTTTAAAATGCATTAACACAATTCACTCTTTAGTTAAGAGAGAGATGCTGCAATTATAGAAAAAAAAATAAGGTGATACGCAAAAGAATGTGGGAAATATTAACTAAAGGTTACCAGAAGAACTAAGACCAAAAAGTCAAGAAATTGGAGATGGAACATAATGTTTTAAAGCTNTAAGTAATATCTGGAAAGCAGAATCAACAGGACATAGTGAGGAACTGGAAACTGGATGCGAGACAGGTCAGTGGTGACAACACAAGACAGAGATGGTCCTGGTTTAGGCCCCAGGGGAGCTCTAGCTCCCAGAAGGAGGGGTCTGGGAGGGTCCAGTGTGTGTGACTCTGCAGATCGACGCATGGGTGATGTGTGTACATGCGAGGGGTGGGGATGTGTGTGCCTGTGAACACTCACATATAAACACATACACACATTTACATTTATACAGGTCTGGGCTAAAGGCATATTTGGGACTCGTCATCTATAGTAATGAATGCAGTTACGGTCTCACATAAGCAAACCCAGTGAGAGGTCTGAGGATAAAGCTGAGAGGACTGCAGCATTTAGGGGCCAGGCAGAGGCCAGGGGAGCTATAAAGAACACCGAAGGAACTGCCTGGAGAGACAGTTACATCATGGATAAAAAGAAACAAGAGCATCATAAGAAGTGTTAATATAGTCAACATGCCAACAAGTAGACAAGAAAGGTACATTTATGAAGACTAGAGTGAGAATTTTGCCCCGTTCACTACAAAACCATCCTCTCAGGAGAGCTCAGGGTGCAAAGGATAATGATGGTGGCGTGAAAGAGACTCCATTAAGAAAACATGATGAGGCCTTAACATGAAAGTTCTATTGGTGGTGTTCTGGCAATTTGTTTAAACTTTTTGTTTTGAAATAACTTCAGATTTACAGAAATGTTGCAAAAATAGAAGAAAGTTCCCATACAAACTTCACCCAACTCCCCCCAATGCTAACACCTCCTATAACCATGGTACATTGATCGAAAGCAAGATATAAACACAGGTAGAATGCTACTAAGCAATCTACAGACTATATTCAGGTTACAGGTAAGAGACCTAAAAATAATGGCTTAAACCTTTGCAAAGCTGCGAGCTCAAGAACGATGGTGCTGTCAGAGCTGTGGACTTAAGGAGCTGTTTCTGGGATCCCTTCCAAAGCCGTTATCTAAAGAGGAGTTTACGCAAATGGAACCTGCCATCATCCGTCTAAGCTGTGTTTATTTCATGGTATCATGGAATGTTAGAGCCGAAAGGTATCCCAACTTGGTGACCTTCTAGTCTAATTCACGTTACAGATGCAAAAACTGAGGCCTAAGGAGGTTAAAAAGCCAACTGTCCGTGAAAACAGCCCATTCCTGGCTAATCTGGCGATATTAACAAATATATTTTTATACAGTACTTAAATAATTTAAATAATAATAACTTAAATAATTACTCATTTAAATAATGATGATAAAGCAAACTACCAGAACATTCCCTTCTTTGGAAGGCCTCTCCCTCTCCACAGAACAGACCACAGTCCTTTCAGCGTATCCTTTCTTCCTATTGTAGATTTATCACATAAATGTTTCCCTAAATCACAGATGATTTAATTTTTCTTGCCACTGAACATTACATGAGGACTCATCATATTAATTCTTCAGCGATTTGATTCATTCATATTCAGTTTGGGACAGCNGACTGAAATACAAAAATGAATGAAACAGACAAAAATTCGAGCTGTCGTGATGCTTAAACATCTAGTGTGGGAGGGGGTGGGATAATAGCATGAAATAGGAAATATAATAAATTATTTAGGGTGTGAGAAGGTGATGAGTGTCGGAAAATAAAATAGGATTGTGTAAGGGAGTTTGGGGACTGTGGGCAAGAACTTTGCGTTTTAATTAGCGTGGTCGGGGTGCAGATCAGGATGAAGAGGACATTCAAGCCCAGTCCTGAGAGGCAGGAGGAAGGACGCCAGGCGGGTTACAGGGACGGGTGACAGCCTGAATGACGCCCAAGAGCAGGAGCAAGCTTGTCCCCAGCAGGCTCTGTGAGACAAACCCACGGCCACGGCGACCCCACTCCTACACTCGCCATCTGCAGTCTCAGACGTCAAACAATTGTGCTTCTTCTCCACCTCACTCATCTGCCACCTACTTCCTATCTGCTCCCTCCTTAAATGTCCAACCCCCTCCCCTGGTCTCTCCCGGCTGATGAGCTCGCTTCGTAACTTTGCTGGGGAAAAACAAACCAGACTGAAGCCATTAAATGAGAAATCCTGCGAGCCCGACGACGCATCACATCTGCTGCCCTCCTCCGTGTTACACACGAAGGTCTCTGCTCTCGCAAAGACCAACTCTGGCAACGACTTTCCTCCTTTCTCCTCCTGAACGTCTTCTTCCTCCACTAGAGCTTCCCAAGAGCCTACAAAACATGTGTCGTTTCTCCTCTTGGCCCCGTTTACTTCTCTAGCCAAGTCCATTTCCATGTTCCTCTTTACAGGAAAACGCAAAAGAGCTGTCAGTACTCTCCACATCACTAAACCCGGTGGGCAAGTCCAAGCACTTGTTTAATGAACTGTCATGAGCACTTGACAGTGTTGCTGCCTTCCTCTTCATTTTGTTTCTCTACCTGGCTGCAAAGACAACTCACTGTCCTGAATTCGCTCCTCCCCACTGGTCGTTCCCTCCCTCTCGGCCTCCCCTGCTGCAGCCCCCTGCCATTTTCCAGTCCCTGGGCCCCTTGTCATTCCTACTGAGATTCGCTCCTTTGGGAATCACACCTGCTCTCCAGTCTGATGGCTTTAAACACTATCCGTATTCCGATGGCTCCCACATATGTATCCCCAGTCTAACAGTCTCCCCTGCCCCATTCAGCCATTTGCCTAACCACTATCCTACTTGAATGTTTAACAGACATCGCAAACGTAACATGTCCAAAACTGCACTCTTCTTCGTCTCGCCAGGATCTCTCCGGCCCACAATCTTCCCCATTTCAATAAAATGACAACTACATCCTACCAGTTTCTCAATGAGAAACTGTGGAATCACTGGGGACTCCCCTTTCTCTCCCTTGGTACTAAACCTTTCAGAACAATCACTGACTCTGTCTTCAGAACAGATCCGTACTCTGACCAACGCTCATCGTATCTTCCACAGACCAGCTCAAGCTGCCATCCCCTCTCACCTCGATGACAGCAGTTGCCTTCTAAGTTTTCTTTCTCTCTGCTTCCATCTTTGGTAACCCTACAGGAAGTTGCTCAAAGGTCCCATTCTCCATGAAACCTACACTGAACGTGCGATTTTAAGTGGCAATTCCACCCTGACCCCTGGAGGTCCCCTTTTCCTGGTCTATTTGCTTATCCAGAGCACTTATCTTTGAACACGCTACATAATTTATTTAATTTACTGTCTGTCCCGCTCCCACTAGAATTAAGAATCACAGTCAGAAATCCTTTTCTGCTTTCTTCTCCAGGGTGCCCCGCCCACAGAACAATGCCTACTGTACCACAGACAACTCCGATTATACTGCTGCATGAAAAGAATGAACAAAGAATACTTAGACTTTCTAAAACTTTAGTGTGCATATTTTTTACATTTTATAAATAACGTGGATTCCTGGATTTTAATCCAGGCCTGAATCAGAAATTCTGAAGGTGAGAATCAAGAATAT